TTGTTTTAGAAAAACTGTCACATTTCAATAGACAAAAATATATCAGTAATTGTATCTGTGAGTACTTGGACAAGTATCGGTACGTATACTTGATCTGGAAAAAATGGTAATGGTGCATCCCTTATATATATAAAAGTGTGAATTATATGATATATGACTCTCAGCCAGAGGGGCTAAGCAGTTCCAGGAAACAAAATCTTTTGCTGGGAAAGAACTACTTATGCAGTTCTCTCCAGGTTTTCTGGATTTGGCATGGGATCCTGGAACTGGGAGATTTTCAAGAGAATTGGGAGGGATGCAATCTCCATTCCTGGGTCCATTGTTTAGTAGTGACCAGCACCTAAATGCACACCTGTGCACAGCACTTATGGGAAGGGTGCGGCTAATGTTCTGGGCTCCAGCTGGGAAGAGGGACAGGTTGTGTTCAGGAGTCAGATGGACGCCACCTAGAAGCCAGAGTGGAGCTGGGTGGCTGTGTGTGCTAGAGGCACAGGGAAGACAGCCGAGGAGACTGAGAGAGCCAGTTACACATGGAGTATGTGCAACAATCTTTGGTCAGTGAGACATTGTCTACTTGGTGAGACATTAGCACACTGTATGTTGAAGCTTTGTTTTCTGTTGATGAAATAAATAAAAAGACGGTCCTGTTTATGCTAACGTGGCTTCGAGACTGGTCCTTGAGCGCTCGCCATTTGTGCTACTTCCCCAAATATCACTACTCCTTACCGAAAAGACCCCAAACTGGGTGGGTGCTCGTAGTGACCACGGGGCCTGTTCTTTACACATTGCACAAGGCTTCTATCTGCATGCAAAATGTTGAGATTAGATGCAGTGGCTTTGTGTATCGCTCTGTTCGCTGTATCAAAAGTAAAGATGAATGGGAGTCTATCCTCAACAGTCGTTGAGGGCATGGTCGTCGAGCAGGTACATACACATCCTAGGGGAGGTGACAGGGCTAAACAGCTCCTTCGCAGGGAGGCCTTTTGGATTTTTACACTGGATTGTGTACAACCCAGGGGCCTCAACTCGAATCTGTCACTATCATGCTTTCTGGATGATAGATAACCCCTTTATTCCATGAGCAATCTTATTAGGAGTTTTCCCAATATAGGAATTCCTGATTATGATACGTTTCATTTCTCAGTGGGCCACACTACGCTTGGCAGCTCTGAGCAACTCCACCTACAGTTTTTTTTAACGATTCCCACCCCTGATACCCCTCACAACCAACCCCAACCCTTCAATCTTTTCTACCGGGACCCACGATCTCTCTCACCCATGATCTTCAGTGACACACGGGCTTGACCCATTGACAGGTCTTTAGTTCCTGAGATTAACAGTGACTAATATAATGAATGTTATAAAATGTTGTTTTTGAAACGAAATGGTATGACACCTGTCATTCAATATAGGGGTTTTTTCGGTAATAACCTGGATGTTTGTCATGGCAACTATAGGAGTTATTATATGTTTCAGCTCCAACATTTTGATGTTTGGGCTCCATCCCTTTTTTTCATTCTATTTTTTTCATCCTATTTTTTTCCTATTTTGTAACGATGGATGCTGAATTATGATGCAATTAATGTTTACACACGTTGTTGAGCTATATACATTGTCTGCCTTTTTGCTATGACTTTCACGTTAGTTATGTATTTTTCCACTGTACCCGTTCCGCCACTGGAGACAGATAGCCCTTCTGTACCTTGAGGCACGATTCCCTTTGCTTTTACAATTTAGTTCAGTACTTGTGGCTTTATTACAGCCTACGTTCTCTCTTTGTCTAGGAGAGCGCTGCATAGCCCCGTCTTTGAAACACAAGCGTTGTGCGTTCCATCTCTGAGAGATTGGGCAGCGTCGCTAGCGTAATCCGCGTCTTGATACCCACAATAGCCCAGCCCCTTTCGGCCTCGGGTTGCAGTGCGCATGCGCTAGTTGTTACGTGGCTGCGATGGAACGCAAGCCGGAAGTCACTCTGCGCTCCTCGCAATAGACAAGCGCACTAGAGATTGGCAGCGCTTGCAGCCGTGATGGCGTCTAATCGTCATGGCAACTACCCGCTCCGGCCGAGCAACGGCCCGGTTTCTTTTCGCGCTTCGGTGCACCTGCAATACTCAAGGTCAGTCTAGGTTTTGAATCTGGTATGGCGGGAATGGATTCAGTGGTCACATTGTTCTTATGGGAGTGGCTTATTTTTATTCTCACTGTGTGATGTCTATATAAAGTTGATGAATCCTTTAGTGATGTGTCATTCTGAGCCTGATGAACGTCCCTTGTGGCCCCCGAAAGCGCTTGTTTTGGATGGCAATGTGCCATTAAAATGGATCATTGATTTACAAAAAACGGTGTGCTGGTGACATTATTCCTACGTCAGGTAAATAGACACAAACATGTCAAGCTTTACAATTGGGTTATAGATGAAAGTAGTCACTCGCACTCCATGATATTAAAGTCAATGCTGTTTATTCACTGAGATAACACACATCTCCTTAGCGACTTTTCGAGACCATGCGGTCCAGTCCTCAGGCAAACAGAGAGTGGGTCAAGCAACAAAATCAAACAATAAATACAGGTGAAACAAAATCAAACCACCAATCACAATGCAGTTAATACCTCCTCCTCTGACGTCCTAACGGCGTGATTCACACCATGCTGCCCAGGTGCAATTAGCTATATGCTGAACACATGATACAGTTGCATACTAATATCCCCCCCGCCTTATTTATTTTGCTTTTTATCTTTAGCTAAGTGGAACACTGAGTATATAAGATGCAGTGAACGTTCTGGTTGCTCGATACAATGTACCAGGACGCTTGTTACATTTTCTTTTTTTTTTGTTGCATCAGATTGAAGTTGTATGTCATATATTTCGCTGCATTGTTTACAGCGATATGTAACATGTGCAGCGTAATGGGCACAATCGTCGTTTTCGCATGTATGCACACCTGATGCATGCTTGCATGTGTGTATGTATGGGTGGGGACTTTAAAAAATATATATTTTTTTAATTATTTTTCATGTGTGACTTTACATTTTTTTCACGCAACTTTAATTTTTTTTCCTATTTTTTTTCCACTTAACTTTATTGTTATCACATAGGGGGCACAATGTAATCCTTCAGGGTACGTTCACACTAGATGCAGAGCGTTCCGGCCCAAACGCACTGCATCGCATTGTGTCCGGCTCACTATTTTGTGGGGCAGAAGGGGCCGTGGCGGGCCATTGAAGTGAATGGCACCGTAGCCACCCCCCCCCCGGCCACAATGCGCAATGCGATCGCCCGCACGGGATCGCAAGGCACATTGTGCCTGCGGTCCGGTGCGATCAAAATAGTGCTTGCAGCATTTTGATCACACTGCACCGGACTGGACCACAGGCACAATGTGCCTTGCGATCCAGTGTGGGCGATCGCATTGCGGCTGGAGGGCGTGGCTACGGTGCCATTCACTTCAATGGCCCGCCACGCCCCCTTCTGCCCCACAAAATTGTGAGCCGGACACAATGCGATGCAGTGCGCTTGGGCCGGAACGCTCTGCATCTAGTGTGAACAAAAAAAGTGAGCCGGCCGGAATGCGATGGAGTGGGTTCCGGCCAGAATCGGACCGAAATGCACTGCATATGGTGTGAACGTACCCCCAGAGTTATTCTTGATGAGTACAGGATTGGACCCTGCTCTAAAAATTCAAATGATACTGTATATACCTGTCACACAGGTATATATGTCTGTACCTCACATTTTTCAATAGCCACTATGTTGCTGTGCTGTAGGGACCTTGTGCGGCCCCTAAACGTTGGTTTTTGGTGACACATGTTCAATAAAGAAGAACAAAAATTTACAATTTGAGCCCTGTGAGTGTTGGTGATCCACTATTCATCACAGTGTCTCATGCTTGGCACAGCTGAGCTCAGAACAGCGATGATGTTGGGCCTGAGCTGGCTCTCTGTCCCCAGAATGTACTTCTGGCTGTGGACCCAGTACAGGCTCAGCGTTATGGCCCAAATCACTTGGTAGTGTCCCTGGCTAATGGCACCCATCCCATCCTGCTGAATCATCCAATGCCTGGTTCACCCAGTTGTATGCTAGCTGGTGCAGGCACTGCCAACATTTTGGGCCGACCTTTCAACCACTGACACAAGATATAAAGGGTGAATAACCATATCAATGGTCTATGGTATATCAATTATATTGATCCCAGATGGGGCTGAATAGGCAGAGCAGGGGAAATGCAATTGTGCCATCTTCCAGTCTGTCCTGTGCCAGCCATTGTGCCATCTACCAGTCTGTCCTGTGCCAGCCATTGTGCCATCTTCCAGTCTGTCCCGTGCCAGGCATTGTACCATCTTCCAATCTGCCGGTGACTGAGAGAGGGGCACAGACTGCTGGGACTGAGAGAGGGGCACAGGCTGCTGGGACTGAGAGAGGGGCACAGACTGCTGGGACTGAGAGAGGGGCACAGACTGCTGGGACTGAGAGAGGGGCACAGACTGATGGGACTGAGAGAGGAGAATGTTGCTCGATGGCGGCTTAGTTCAATCTTCCAGTCTGTTGACTGTCAGTTAGTCAATCAGAGACTTGACATCCAGACTAAGCTACCACTACACCACCAGGGCAGGGCTGGGCTGATGGGGCATTGTGTCCAATCATCTTATTATTATGATCCCTACTGGGCTATCACCCCTACCACCAGGACAGAGGCAGAGCAAAATATAATTGTAAATACATACAGTAAATGAATGAATAAGTAAATACATATATAAATTCATCCACTGGGCTGAACATCCCTATAAGAAAGTGTTACAAATTTATTTAAATAATAAAAAATACAGTTACTGTTTACAAATAATGTTTTTTGCTGTTAAACTTAGCATACAAGAGGTGTGCTGTTAAACTTGGCATGCAAAAAGTGACCATAATAAAAGTCAGTGGCAAAGAAAAAAATGTAGCTGAAAATCTAGATGTAAACAGAATAAATACAAATACATTGCTGTAATTGTGCACCCACCAGTTTTCTCAATGACAGCTGTGTTCTTGGAGACTCCAGGCGTGTCACCGAGGCCAACTATGTTCTCACTGTAAACTCTGAAGTAATATTCATTTCCCATGATGAGGTCAGACACTGTGCAGCGTGGCTGACGATTGTGCTCATATACTGTGAACCATTCCTAAAGATAAGATGTAGAGGGTACACCAGTAGAAACAGTATTTTAATAATATTCAGCAATCTATATAAGCTTATACACCTGTCCAACATTTCATTCTGAAATCAAGTATATTGATATTAATTTGGTCCTCCATTTGCTAATGCAGCAACTTTTGCTCTTCTGGGACAGTTTCCACTAAATTTGGGTTGTTCAGTTGGGATGAAGTAGATTGTAAGGTCTTATAGACAGGGACTGATGTAAAAGTGCACATGTGCAATTTAAAAGCAATCGGTAAATTGTTGGCGCTATATAAATACCAATAATAAATAAATAAGTCAGGGTTCCATGTGGACTAGTCAAATGTAGCGTCATGAACGAAAATGGCCAATTTTACTTTCCTAAATTTCAGTGAAATGTAGAGATCATATCCCCCATTAATCGCTTCCTTTCCAGAGAGAACAAATTTAGTTAATCTAATTTCCCTCATAGCTGAGCTCCTTCATGCCTCTTTTGAGTTTAGTTGCCCTTTCTGCAGTTCCCCAACATCCTTTTTGTGACTGGTTCCCAGAACTGCATATTCTAGATGAGGTATTACTAATGCTTTGTACAGGGGCGCAATTATGTCTCTCTCTCTCTCTTTCTCTCTCTCTCTCTGGAGTCTAGACCCCTTTTAATACATAAAAATATATTGCTTGCTTTAGAAACTGTAAGTTGACATTACATGCTGTTATTGAGTCTATAGTCTACCAGAACTCCGAGATCTTTCTCCATCATTGACTCCCCAAACATACTCCCCCCTGAGTGTATGAAGCATGCATGTTTTAGTCCCCAAGTGCGAAACTTTACATTTATCGACATTAGACCTCATTTTCTAAATAAATGCCCAATCATACAGTGCATTCAGATCTGCTTGTAATTTGGAGACATCCTGTAAGGACTTTATTCCACTAAATAGCTTGGTGTCATCTGCAAACACCGAAATTGTACTTTTAATCTCCAACTCTATATCATTTGTAAATATATTAAACAGCAAGGGACCCAACACTAAACCTTGGGGAACACCACTAACAATCACAGACCATTCAGAGTATGAATCATTGATCACAACTCTCTGAATATTGTCTTTAAGCCATCTTTGTATCCGATTACAGACTGAATGCTCTATACCTACTGACCTTAACTTATACATTAGCAGCCTCAGGGCTATAGGAAGGGCAAGGCGAGTGAGGCACAGCTGTGAGGGGCCACACCGCCCCCTCGCCCCTGTTGCCATGGTGCACGCCAGGCAGCCAACACAGGGCAGCAGGGAGTAGAGGAGTGGCACAGCCTGCAGCTTCTCCTCAGATCCCCGCTGCTCTCTCCCACCTGTATGGGCAGAGGCAGGCGGGGATCCGAGGAAAAATGGAGCACTGAAGCCAGCAGGGGAGAGGGTGGTGGAGGATGGAGCTGTCATCCAGGATGGCCGAGCGGTGAGGAGAGAGAGAGACACTCAGCCAGGATCTGACAGCCAGTGGCTCTCTCTCTCCTAACTGTTCAGCCATCCTGAAGTGACAGCTCTCCCTCCTCCTCCCCCTCCCGCCGGCTTCAGCACTTCCTTTCTCCTCAGATCCCTGCTGCCTATGCCCACACAGGCAGTGGAGAGCAGCGGGGATCCAAAGAGAAAACTGCAGGATGTGCCGCCCCTCTGTGCGTGGCAGAGCAGCTTGGGATGGAGAGCAGGAGGATCGGCAGTGATGTTTACCGATCCTCTCTGTGCAGAGCAAACACTGGAGTGATCAGGTGATCACTCCAGTGTTTGTAAACAACTGGGGACACATACTAATATGTGTCCCCAGTTATGAATGAACAGGAAGTGCTTTATATCACTTCCTGTCCATTCATAAGTTTCTGAATGAAGGTAGTAGCACTCACTATAGAGGCTTCTAACCATTCATAACTGGATGATAGTAAATATTTTACTATCACAGTTTCTGAATGAAGCCTCTGTACTGAGTGCTTTCCATTCATTTAGAACAGGGGCTGCAGAATAAAAGAGTGGAAACTCTGTGTCCTCAATTTCTTTTTCTATTTCAAAAGGGAAATATCATGGATCTGTATAGACCCCTGATATTTTCCCAAAGCCCCCCAACAGTATAAAAATAAATAAAAAATAATAAATAGTAAAAGCTAAAATTGGAAAAAAAAAACCTCACCATGGACTCGGGGCAGATGACGTCACATCTTGGGGGGCACAATTTTCTGTTCTTGCCTCTGGTGCAAAATGAGCTAGCTATGGCTCTGAGCAACCTTTTGGGAACTGTGTCAAACACTTTTGCAAAGTCCAAATATGCTACATCCACAGCTATTCCTCTATCTAATTTATTGCTTAGTTCCTCATAAAAAGAAAGTAGATTTGTTTGACAACTTCTTCTTGTGAACCCATGCTTACTATTACTTATAATATTATGTAGCACCCCTGTGAAAACAAAAGTGCTTATTTAAATTTAGAGGGTCATTCACTTAAGAGCTGAAGGATATAGCCTGAAGACAGTGGCCTGTCATTGAATGACAACAAATGGGCGGAGCCGGCTTTGACGTCAAGGCCGACTCTGTTCATTTGTTTTGATTAGGCCGGGACCTGCCGAAAGAGTTTGACAGGTGCGGGACAAATGTAAACAGTTAGACAATATGGTGGTGGACAAATTGTTGGTGTTTTTATTTTTTGATTAACTGAGTATGGAATATGAGTATGTGAATGAGTATGGAAACAAGTACCCCTTACTCATTCACAAGGGTGGCAGCATTTGGATGCCCCCTTTATTAAAGGGGGTACCCCAATGAAAATAAGCTCGCTGACGCAGACCCCCACAACCAACGCTTCAAGGTTTGTGGGGAAGAGGCCCTTCTCCCCATGGGTTTAGGACAAGGTGCTTATCTAGGTGGACCATGGAAAAGCGCCCTCCCAACAAGTGCATGTGGCCTGGTATGGTGCAGGGGGGTGCTCACTCGTCCCCCCCCCTTTCCTGCCCTGCCAGGCCTTTGCTCGGATTAAGGGTCTGGTCGATAATTCTAGAGGGGACCCCACGTTTTGTTCCCCCCCATTTTTGGAGGGTGGAGTTCCCCCTAAAAATTCCTACTAGACCTAAAGAGCCTGGTATGATTTTTTGGGGGGAACCTCATGCACTTTTGCTTACGGGAATATATTTTGCAGTGTGTTTGTTAACAATTGATTTGAAAAATTCCCATTTCTGTTCTGTGTTTTTTTATGACAATATTCCCTCCCAGTCTTAAAAAGCAGCCCTCAGCATCGGAAGATTTGCTCTTCTGAAGTTAAATGTTTTTATTTTTCCAGTATGTGAACATTGATTACAACTTACAGTAAGTTAAATTAAATCATATTATGGTCACTGCTACCCAGATGTTCTTTTATATGAATATTTGTAATAAGCTCTGCATTGTTCGAGATTACCAGATCCAGCTGAGCATCATTTCTAGTTGGGTCTTCTACAAAGTGTACCATAAAATTGTCATGTAATAAGTTTATAAATGTCCGCCCTTTTACTGTTTCAGGAGTGCCATTATGCCAGTCAATGTCAGGATAGTTAAAATCTCCCATTAATACTACTGTCCCCGCCCTTGCAGTCCTTTCTATCTATGTAAGGAGTTGAGTCTCTAACTCAGGGGTGGCCAAACTCCGGCCCTCCAGCTGTGGTGGAACTACAAATCCCATGAGGCATTGCAAGATCCTCACAGCCACAGGCATGACTCCCGGAGAGAGATGCATCATGGGATTTGTAGTTTCACCACAGCTTGACGGCCAGAGTTTGGCTACCCTTGCTCTAACTCCTCATTAACACTGAGAGGCCTCTAAATCTGTAGGTGTATGGCCAGCTTTATGCACACCAATTAACTCCCCCCCTAATTCCTCAGCACCATCACTCACCATCAAGAAAGTCCTCTTTCACACTCACTTTTAGATAATTTCTCACACAGAGGCAAACAACGCAACCTTTTAATTTTACCCGAAAAGAGAGCCTAGCCTGGAATATTAACAGCCCAATCATGTGAAGTACAAAGCCAAGTGCACCATGCACCAAATCTTTCAACTCTCCCATTTTGCTTGGCAGATTTCTGGCATTGGTGAACAAACATTTCAATCCATTTTAAAAATTTTCACTTGTAACAATCTGTATCTTTTTTCATAGTACACATAGTACTGTAATCTCCGATGTTTGTTTGCAACATGGGAATCTCTTTATCCACTTGCATTTCCCTCCCCCCCATCTTTCCCTGTTCCATCCTTCATTATAGTCTGACCCCTTATATTCTGACTCTCCCTCCCCCCTCAATCCTAGTTTAAACACTTCTCCAACCTTTCCATAAACCTCTCCCCTAGCGCAGCAGACCCTCTTCGATTTAGGTGCAGACCATCTTTAGCATATACTGTAGGTTGAAAAGCCAGCCCAGTGCTCTAGAAACCCCAAGCCTTCCCTCTTACACTAGGTCTTTAGCCATGCATTTAGCTCTCTAAGCTCCCACTGTCTTTCCTGTGTTGCTCATGGCACAGGCAATATTCCAGAAAATATTACCTTGGAGGTCCTTCCCTTCAGTTTGCATCCTGGTTCTTTAAATTGATTTTTAAGGATCCTCCATCTTCTATGTATTCTGACATTGGTCCCAACATGGACCAAGACAGCTGGGTCATGTCCAGCCCCTTCCAGTAATTTTTCCACCCAGTCCACCACATGCCTAACCCTGGCACCAGGGAGACAGTAAACCATTCGGCTGAGGCGATCTGGACGACAAATTAGTCCTCCGGATTATAGAATCTCCTATTACCACCAACTGTCTAGGCCAGTGGTGGCGAACCTTGGCACTCCAGCTGTGCATCTGCCTCTGTGAGTTATGTCTGTAGCTGTCAGAGCCTCGCAATGTCTAATGGGACTTGGTTTTGCCAAGGTTGGCCACCACTGGTCTAGGCCTTCCAGCTTTACCCACACCACCCGGACTAGATTGGCTGCTCTCCCAGCTGTTATGTGTAGCTGTGACACCTAGGGCTGCCAACTCTGAGTTTGCCACTTGTTTTAGCAATGGGTGTGGCCTAAATAGGGTGTGGCCTAAATAGCCAGTTTACTAATTAGAGAATATCTACGAATCATGTGAAAAATCCTCCAGAAGATTGCCAAACACAGAACATGGACAATATTCCCACCTAGAGTTCTACTGTAATAGGTGATTCAGATAATTTTACTTTAGTGGCACAGTTAGCATCAGTGACTCTGACTATAAATAAAGGATAATCATTTTGTGTAACTAGGTGATGCTAACAGTTACTAAATGTGTAAAGCTGACCACACATTTTACAATATAACTGCTCAATCACTGTACAATGTCCAATTTATAAATGCGTTTGTAGTGCCAAGACATACCTAATCAATTTATTTCAATTTATATCTAGTTAAGAAAGCCCACATTACATAGTTGTTGAATAGATTGTACAATCATACAGTAGTGCAACAGCTTAAAGTGGACCTTTACCCATATCTCTAAAATAACAACAAACACACCTTTAGAAATGTTTAGTAATGACACTCTACAAACACATACTTCTAGATAACTGCAGGCTTTGTGGTCTTTGCATTCTTTATTTCTCTTTTCTTCTCCAGTCTTCTGACAGTGGTCATGTTTACTAAGGGCAGATTTCTAGCTTTCCTATTACTTCCTGGATTACTGGTACATGTGACTAGATATGTGAATAAGACATGTGACCATGCACATCATCTCAGGGGAGGAAAATGCCTTTCCCTGAGATCTCCTGAGATTACAGATGAGATTTCCCAGCAATGCTCTGCTGATGACAAGGCAATCCCAGTGTGCATTGCGTTGGCAAAATGAAGTAATTTGCACTTTCAAAGCAGGAAGTGAATGCTCCGCAATTGTAAGTATTTCAAAATCACAGCATTTTACACCTGACATGTCTATATTATTATCATTCATCATACATAGAGGGATGCATTGGTAGAATTAGATTTTTGAATGCAAAGGTCCGCTTTAAGCTTTTTATTGCAAGCTAATCATTTTATATTTTTTGCTAATGTGAAAACTGTTACATCGGCATAAATACATAGTTTATTAATAAAATGTAAACTTCAGCATGCAGATGTCTTAGGACATCTTGGGAAAATACAGTAGTGCAACAGCTTAAAGTGGACCTTTACCCATATCTCTAAAATAACAACAAACACACCTTTAGAAATGTTTAGTAATGACACTCTATTAACAAGTAGTTTGCAAAGTAGTGAATAAAATAAAAGTAATTGAAAACAAACTCACCATTGTCTTTTTATCAGCTTTCTGAATTGTGTACCCTGTGATTTCAGAGTTTCCATTGTCTTTAGGCGGCTGCCATTCCAGAAGAGCGTTAAATCCCCAGACCTCCTTGACCATAACAGCATGAGCTGGGCCAGGTTTATCTGCCAAACATAACCATTGTATTAGTTATTATTTATATTAGGATAATTGGGATGCACTGGCTTCTGTGTTGATTATATATATATATATAAATCAGTGTGTATATATATATATATATAGTTTTTTTTAGTTCGTTCAGCTGCTAGATTATGCTTTTATAAAAGCGTAGGACTAAAAGAACACATATGCTGATCATAAATGCTTATACCAGAGAAACCTCTGTGATTCTGTGTGTAGTGTGCATGTGTGGTTTAGTAATTGGTATTGTTCCCGGCGAAAGGCTAAAACATAACACATTTATCATCCAATTGATGTAACTTCCCGAACAGCTGAACATTGTTTTTACTTTTTTTTGCTGTCTGTTTGTCTTGTCTTGGAGTTACAACAGTGAGTAAGAGGAAATCTCTCCAAGGTAAGGGAAAACCTCCTATTGTAAGCAGTATAAATGTCCCTATTGGAAGATTTCACCTCAGCTTCTGTTTTGATGTTACATGTAAAAATGTTTGATTTCCCATCACGTTATGTCCTGGTGACAATGGCCCCCATCACAAAAAAGGGTTAATCTCCCAGCAGTGACACATGCAGCAATACAAGCTGACAGAGATGCTGACCCTTCACTATTCAATGTAAAACTAAAATAGAAAAAAAATTAAATATTAAAAGAAAGGCACAAGAAGGTGCACGTTCTGTTATGGTTATCATTTCACTAAGGGCATGACGAATGTCTGATACAGTGAGAATGACCCTAAGGATGACATGACAGCATTGGCAATCATGCAGGGCAACCTATACAAAGCAGTCCTACAATTACATTGCTAAACTGAGTAATTCTATAACTGGCATGAAGAGATGCTAATTCTATCCAGCTCACAGACTAAACATTAAGTATTGAGGAACCCATAATGAACACATGGCGCATAATGCTTCGGCTTCTGTGTCAAATCAATTTTCAGTACCAAACAATTGTATGCATGTATTCAAAAAAACAAAACAAAACAAAAACACAAAAAAACACCTAATTTCTTACACTTAGCCTCACACTAAAGGATATAAATAACCTAAGCCCTAACCCAAAACCACAATCTAACCTCAAAACGTACCCCTAAACCTTGAGATCAGCCATAATGCTATCATAGTTAATACAACAAAAAAATGTCACCTTAAAATGGGGATGATACCGTAATATAATCAAATCTATTAAGTAATATATAAAAAAACAAATATTCAATGTGCCAAACTTTTGGTGTTACAAAACCTGTTGTAAAATGACTGCAATGAACACGAATGTTCCTAGACCTGATCAGCATGTCCTGCATCTGACACTCAGCCAGCATGCACGCATTGTTGGGAGTGCTCTCCTGTTCAACACTATCTGCAAACAGTAGCTTCACTGGCAAAATCACTAGCAGGCTAGAAGGAAAAAAAAGGTAACCAGGGACGCTGTCATTACACACTGAGAACCCGGCCGTGCCACTATGATATCACGGGGCGTCTCCATGTTCTCAGTGAGTAATGACAGATGGCGTTCCTGGTTACCTGGTAACCAGGAATGCCATCTGTCATTCCTCCCCTGGAAGGTCTGGGAGTCTAATAGGCTCCAGGCCGCCCGGGAGAGAAACACTTTCTCCCAGAAAGGTTTACTCTGCTCGATCGAGTAGAGTAAACCTTTCCCTGCTCGTTTTTTTTTTTCTTTTCTTCTGACATCGGAGCCGTTGGCTGCCGTCAGAAGAAAAAAATAAATAAATCACCATAGGAATGCATAGCTAGATTATTTTTGGCTATTTCAATTTGCAATAGCCAATAGGAATCTAGCTATGCATTCCTGTGGTGTGTTCTTTTTTTTTTTGACGGCAGCAGAACCTCCCGGCCAATAGAACACAGTTGGGTGGAGCTAGCTGTCACTGCTAGCTCCGCCCAATCGTTTCTACTTTTTTCCCCTACTTTTTAAACGATTTTTCTATTCTGCTCGGTTCCACAGAGGGACCGTGCAGAACAGCCGAGCCGAATGCTGCTCAGCGGCGTTCGGCTATTTACTCACTGCTGTTCGGCATGAGAATAGACCAAACAGCAGCGAGTAGCCTGCTGGAAGTTCGGCTTGGCCCATCCAGATGTTGGATCGGCTGAGTCGAACTCCTTCTGCACTTCGGGTCGGCCGAACATGCTGAGCATGTTCGACTGACCCGAAGCCACACGAAGCCACCCAATGTACAGCTGATTTCAGCCGATATACGGCTAGAATCAGGCGTACCAGCCTGAAGTGAATAGCCGAACAGCGTTCAGCTCACTTCCCTTGAGGTTGGTTAGTCACTCGGCTGCCTACGGCAGCTTAGTGGATAGACCCCAAAGTCTTCACACTAGAGCTGCAACTAACAATTATTTTCATAATCGATTAGTTGGCCGATTATTTTTTCGATTATTCAGATTAAAAAAAAAAACATCTTTTATTTAAAATAAAATACACAAATCGATTGTTACAAACAAAGTTTACTTCAGAATAAAACTGCATGCACAATTTTTTGCAATCGCACCGTGGTAGGTAGGTTAGACATTTTCATTAGTTTCATGGTTTTAAGTAATCTGAATTGCAAAACTCCAATCCAATATAATAAAATAACCAAACTTTAATTTAAAATAACACACCAAAATTTGACAAAAATACAAATGTATATATAAAAAAACACCTGGTCATCAGTTTAGGGTTAGCCATGAATATTGGCCTGAGAATTATTGCTCTCACTCTGGCGCACGTGGCAATACCTGACATGTATAGCACAATCAAAGGTAGGCATACCTGACTTTTAATCCCATTAGTATGCACGTTTGCGGGGGGCAGAGACTTTACATTTTTTGGGTGTTTTTCATTTTACTTTAACTTTATATTCATTTTTTTTACTTCATTGCTGTCACATGGGGAAGGGGGATGCGGTGCTATGTAATAGCACATTGCAGATGACAGGTTCTCTTTAAGGTGACCCCTAGTGTCACTTTTCCACTTCAATAGCTTAAGCTGGGGAATGACAGCTGCCTGCTGAGGCAGCTGAATGTAAACACAGCAGGCAATGGGTGGGTGCAACAGCCAGCCTGCTTTTGGCTATTTTAAATTACAGTAGTCAATAGCAGGCTGCCTTTTTGCATCCGCCCACTGCCTGCTGTCAATCAGGAGAGGAGGAACATAACAGATGGCAGTGGGGGGGTGCAATAGCCAGCCTGCTATTGGTTACAGCAATTTAAAATAGCCAATGGCAGGCTGGCTATTGCTCCGGGTTGGGAGACTTGACAGTTGATCGGAAGAGAGTGTGGCAGGGGTGCAGCGAGGGCACGAGGGGAATGCAGAGTCACAGTGGCTGACAGTGGTCTCTCCTCCCCAGTAGGGGAGGGTCTGTGTCCCTTCTGATCCCTGCTGCCTCTGCTGATACAGGCAGGGGTGAGCAGTGGGGATCAGAGGGGACACAGACTGCAGCATGGAGCAGGCTCTCATTGGGGAGGAGCAGAGCTAATGCAGCGGTGCCCCCCACCGCTGCATCAACTAATCAATAATGAGAATTTTTCACAGCAATTCTCATTATTGATTATTACTGATACAATCGATTCCTTGTTGCAGTCCTACTTTGGACACAGTAATCATTAATGCTGTATATAATATATAAATAAATATTAAACATATATTTATATATGTTCTGGGCAAAGGAATGTGTAGAACACAATCTTCAGGCAACCTCAGTTCTTTTCCAGAAAGTGTAGCGTTTATTTGACCCCAGAAACAGATGACAATTCCAACAGAATATATACAAAGTAACAATAAAATGAAAAGCCCTGTGAGTCTCTTTCTATGTACATCTAGGAGTCTCTCTTCATGATCTGCCAGTCACTAATACAGAAGGGATTTCTGATTGGCTGGTCTTAAGATCTCTATGATGTTATATCAATTAAAGTAATGATTTGTGTACATCCTCCTTTTCAGGTTTCTTTTGACAAAAACAATCTATAGCTGTTTACATTGTCTACATTAAAACAGTGCTTTATCACAGGCCCAACTGGTCAAGACATTTATCACAGTAAAGTCCTACTGTAGAGTAGGTGTGTTGAGGTAAGTAAAAAAAAAAATCAGCCAAATGAATTTTCTTGCATCCACATACACCCCAAATATATCTTGCAGACATACTTTCAATAATACAAATGTCCCATAACTTATAACAATGAATCCCAATGGTCGATAAGAAGGCACTTCACTACTGACCCACCAACGAAAGCAGGGCACTAAACCACTGGTGACAACATCAGGGAGCACTTCATCACTTACCACTAGTGTAAGGGGGCACTGCGCTGAACACTCTGCACTGTGCCTACACTAGTCATGTTCCTGCCCACTGTACTCTGCATACTGTACAGTACACTATTATATAGTCCTAGTTGATGTACTTTGTCAGCTTTGCTGTACATTACTTACTTCTAACCAAAGTGTTCATTGTTTTAGCAGTTGTTGGTTGCTAAGCAGTCCTCCAGTATTATAATGGAGTTCAGTGACGTGCCGTGCCTTCTGTGCAGGGCGAGGCATCCCCCGTCCCGCCGAAGCTCCACCCCGTCCAGCCGAAGCTCCACCCCAATCCCTATGAATCTCCACCCCAAGCTCGGTAACCAAACTGTGTGGGAAAGAGGAAGGGAGGAGACAGTGACGAGCCTCCCTGTCCCTCACTTGCTCATCACTGGTGAGTCACTGCTGAGGCATCGAGATCGATGGCCTCAGTGTTTTGTTTTTTTCTTTCTTTTGATTGGACAGCTTGGACCAATGGCGCGTTGCCATTGGTCCAAGCCATCCACAGAGCTCATGCTTCTAACACAGGGTAGAGGCTGTGAAAGCTCTTGCCTCACTATGTTAGGTTACACAAGAAGTGGGGAAGCCCGCTGCTGTGTAACCTAACTACCTGTCAAAAGCCGGATGCAGCTCTGCCTGTAATTAATAGGCAGCGCTCCATCCATGACAGGTTACACAGTGGGGAGGATT